TATGCCGTGGCCGAGGTGCCACATCCTGGTGCTTATATTCTCCAAGACGCTGAAGGAAAGAGAGTTCCTAGAGTCTGGAATGTCAATAACTTGAAGAAATTTTATCCCTAATAAAATTCTTTCAAGTGTTTTAAGTCTTACTGTTCTTTACGTTTCTCACTTCGTGTTTATTGAGAATCGTTTTACCTCTTATTCTATGTATCTGAGGTCAATCAGTTCATTCACTTCTATTAATAAATGTCACTTCACATTTGAAGTGCTTTGTTTCCTTCTAGTTTCTTCGCAATAATGTACTTGTTCCTAATTCATATAAAGTGTCTTACTTCTTCTTTCATCTGAAGTGAATTACTTTGGTTAATCCCTCAAGTGCCTTACTTCTTCTTTCATCTGAAGTAAATTACTTCTTCTTAAGTGACTTAATTCTTCTTAACTCGTCTGAAGTGAATTACTCAGTTCTTTCATAACAAAAATATAAACCAAACATAAACAAAAACATAATTTCATTTAATTTAGCAAAAATATTACAAACTATTTAAATGTTTTACAACAAAGTAAAAACAACAAAACAAAGCTAATTCTCTGCTGGAGGAGGTGGCTCCACTGGCTCCTCTTCAGCTGGAAGAGGTGGCTGCCTTGGCTGCTGCTCGTCTGGCAGGGGAGGCTGATCATCATCAGAAGGAACTGGATGGATCTCCACTTCTGGAACTGGTTGGCTCTCATCCACTCCAACTCCTTCCACTCTTGCCTTCACCTCCTCTACCTCTGCCCCTTCTTCTCCTACTACCACGAACTTGAAGTCGAAGTTCGGAGGAAAAACAGTGCGTCCATCAGCATCATAATCCCACTTCAGTTTGATTTCTGGGCGGAAGTCTGCTGACATGCTTTCACCATCTTCCTCCACTCCAGCTTCTTGCTCTCCAAAAGTTATCCTTGTCACATCCACTTCGGGATAAACAATCTTCACCTTCTTTCTGCAGTCCGTGAAGGCAATGATGGCAGTTGGCAATCGGTAGAGGTTGACGATGTTGTCAAACTAGCTAGAGCTGATGAAGTTGCTGATATGCTCCTTCATCCCATTGTGCACCAAGGTCTGCACATTCCCCTTCAGCTCCAAGAAGGCCTCCTTCGTCAGTTTCAACTCTTGCGCCAGAGCATCACGCTCGCTTTCAGAGATCTTTCGCTTGGTCTCTTCGAAGCCGAGCTTGGTGCCCAGAGAAGCCCTCTCCTGCTCCAACTGCTTCAGAGTTGGAACCACCTCGTTCAGAGACTCTTGCAGCTCCTTATTCTTTTTCTCCAACTCTTCCTTCTCCTTCTGCAGCTGGTCTCGCTGCCTCTGCAAGAGTGCACGGTCCTTGACACTATCTCTGAACTCCTGGGCTAGACCATTCACCCAGCTCGCGCTCTGCAAATCAAAGCAGAAATTCAAAGACAAAAAAGAGAAGAAGAAACAGCATAAATGAACAACATTACTGCTTTAACGTACCTCAAGGATGTGCTTCACAACAGCTGCACCCCCGTACCTCAGAGCTTCCTCCCGCGCGTTGCGCTTGTCCACCTCGGGGAAGGTGCTGTTGATAAACCACCTAGCCCCCATCATGTTCTTTGCCTCGAACAGGCTGCTGTGAGGCACAGCAGGGGCAACAGGGCCCTTCCCCTTACCAGGAGCCCGTACCTCAGCCCCCTCCTCCAACTGTCTGAGCTTGGGGTCCAGCTCAACAGGAGGAGGCTGAGGTACAAACTCAAGCACCTCATTCCTCTCCACCTCCTCCACCACCTTCTTCTTCTTCTCCAAGGCCCTCTTCTCCTCCCAACCCTTTCTCTTCAGTGGTGGCACCTCCTCCCCCGTCTCAACTGAAGCAGTGGGCACCACCTCCTTCCCAGTTGTCCCCTCATCCACTTGTCTGGTTGAAGTCCTTGACTTCTTTCTTGGCTTCTTGGGGATCGCCTTTCCTCCAGCCGTACCCAGAAATTGATTCATGTCAGCTGCAAAGCAAAAAACACAATGTTAGTCACAATTCTATGTTTTACATTTAGCACTACAGTGTATGTAAAACAAACCTTCACTCAGAGCACTTGGCCCATAGAGCTCAGCAGCCTCTATGCATGCTGCGCTGGTGAGGTCCATGATGTTCAACACATCTCCCCTCTTCCTCACCAACATCCCCACTTCTTCCTCTTCATCCTCGGTTAAACTAAACTTATTCTGGTTGGCCCTTTTGGCCTTCCAGGAAGCTAACGCCCTCACCTCGGCATCTCCCTTCCCCCACTCCGTATCATCCACAAAAAAGAATTTTTCCTTCCATCCCTTAATGGATGAAGGACCTGCTGTGAACAAAATCCTACCCTCCTTATTAGCTACCCTTGGGGTGAAATAATACCACCCCTTATCTCTCCTGCTACTACCCTTTAAAACAAAAAAATACTTAAACATATTTACAGTTGGCACGCTAATTCCCTGAGCTCGGCAATAAACTAAAAAACCTATTATTACCCTCATTGCGTTGGGAACCAACTGTGTCAACCCTATGTTGTAGTCTAACAACAAACCTATCAGCAACTCAGGAAGTGGAAACCTGAGTCCCGCCATCAAGTAGTGGGAATACACAGGCATCCAGTGATCCCGAGGAGCAGAACATGCCCTCTCCTCTACCCCAGCTGGCCTAACTAACACCCGAGAAGAGATCTCGTACGTTTCTACTAAGTGACACAGGTCATCCCTGGTCCTTAGTTCAGATCGGTACTGCTTCACTTCCTCCACTATATCTGCATTTCTATCATAACCTCTCTCCCCATTACTTTCTACTTCTACTACGGTGATGGGTAAGCTATCTACCCCAACCCCCACCACCTCATTCCTCCCAACCTCTACCACCTCACCCCCCCCAACACCCACCACCTCATCTCCTCTAACTCCCTCCACTGTTTCCTCCGAACTAGTGGGAGATGGACTACTCTCTGAGTCCATACCCCCATAGTCCAAAGGCTCCACCTCACTCCCTACTATACTTTCTGATCTTTCCAATGACATTTTCTCAAACTCTGCACGAAGTAGGGGGGAAGAATAAGTCAGGAAATAAAAAAAAAAAAACAACAAACAAAAACCCCCTTTTTGTTGCACATTCAAGATCCTTCTCCCCTCTAACCCTAACTTCCTTCGAAGGACTCTAAATCAATCACAGAAAGGTAGAAAGGAGAGAAACACTTCGATTAAATCAGAAATCAGAAGTTTGGGTACAATACCTGATTTCGGTTTTGAAAGAGTTGATGTAGGGATCCCCAGTTGTTACCACAGTTCACGAACAGAAGATGAACGATGAAGCTTCTCGCAGAAGTTTTGCAGGAAAAAGAAATGCAAGTAAACCTTTTTTCTGCAGAAAAAATGCCTATTTATACCTCTGGGCAAAATTAGATCTCAATGGCTGAGATTCATTTAATCTAACGGTCGCTACTTGCACCGTTTAGAATTCAACGGACAACCTTAAACGACATCGTTTTGCATTAGACGATTCGTTTTTTAATTTTTTGCCCGTTTAACTGTTGCAGTTATCTTTTTACGGTCGCATTTATTGCGCACGCATTCCATGGACAACTGTCACACCAATGTCAGTACTTTTACACGGGCCCACCTACAACCATTTTAATACCTCTGTTTACTTTTGCATATTCTCAATATACGAAGTGTTTCACCTCGGCTTCAACCACAGCAACTCAATCTCACACACTTTATTTCCGATACGGGCATTATGACCTCAGTTATTATATTTTATTATGGCCCTGGCCAATTTTACTTCTTTATTTATATTTTGTGATATTTTATTCTGTCTTTATGCTTCACTCTAACTCAGCGCTTCTGTTTACTTTTATAATTATAATTGTTAGCTACTTTACTTCGGCTACGGCCACAGTGACCCAGTGTCACATGTTTTACTTCGGCTACGGCCACAGTGACTCAGTGTCACATGTTTTACTTCGGCTACGGCCACAGTGACCCAGTGTCACATGTTTTACTTCGGCTACGGCCACAGTGACCCAGTGTCACATGTTTTACTTCCGCTGCGGCCATAGTGACCCAGTGTCACATGTTTTACTTCGGCTACGGCCATAGTGACCCAGTGTCACAAGTTTTACTTTGGCTACGGCCACAGTGACCCAGTGTCACACGTTTTACTACGGCTCCGGCCCTTAGGACTCCGGTCATCATGTTTTATTACTGCTCCGGCCCTTATGACTCCGGTCATCATGTTTTATTACGGCTCCGGCCCTTATGACTCCGGTCATCATGTTTTATTACGGCTCCGGCCGTTATGACTCCGGTCATCATGTTTTATTACGGCTCCGGCCCTTATGACTCCGGTCATCATATTTTGTTATTGTAGCTCCGGCCTTTATGACTCCGGTCATCATTTTCCATCACGGCCCTCACTTTTATAACTCTAGTCATTATTTTTTATCACGACATTGACTACGTTATGACTCCGGTCATCATCTTTACAAGTTATCACTCCGATCATGATTGCTCTGATTATACTTTATTTAAGCCACCTCAGTATAACCCATTGTTACCTCTTTCATTATTAGCTACGGCTATGTTTAAATTTAAGATACACTCTTTGTGCTCTTTGTTCTTTTTGTTCATACATTCCCCTTATTATCCCCAGCAACATCATTCACAAGTGAATGA